ACTGGGTCGATTCTCTCCTTGGGACAAAGAAAGGGCTTTTTTTGCCGACTTCACGAAGCATGCCGCATATTTTGCACGTTATATAGCCCCATTGTTGGGCACTTTTCACGGATGCCGAATAAGCAGACTGTACAACAGACCTACCAGGTTGGTCCCTTTTGAGATGTCGGGGGGTCGTTTAGTACTCTTTGTTTGGCCCCCGCACAAGTTTGGCCCCCGCACAAATTTGGCCCCCGCACAAATTTGGCCCCCGCACAAGCTTGTCATAAGGTATTACGGCCCACCTTACATTTTAAGTTGTGCAGGCCTGTTTAAAGGCCTACTCAAATAGCAACAAGGAGAAGATCGCAATGAAAAGAAGTGCAAGGGTGCAGTCTTGATCCACTGTACTGATCGTGTGGACGATTCCGATGTTACGCTGTTGAAACGCCCTGATGATATATATCAGTTGAAACACAATGATGATGCAGAAATGTTTAAACACACAGAGGATACAGACCGTCGAATCACTTTGGTAATACAGAGGTGTTTAAATAAACCGATGATACAGATGTATTGAAACACACTGATTATACAGCGGTGTTTAAAAACACTGAGGATACGGATGTATTTAAACACACTGAAGATACATTTGTGTTTAAACACACTGAGTATAAAGAGGTGTCTAAGCACAGAAGGGTACAGAGGCGTTTGAAGAAAATGAATGGGTGTGTGTGTGAGCCAATTTTCGGAAGCTGCCTAAATATGTGTTCAATCTGATCGACTAACTTTCCATAGTCCATGATAGTGACAGACATGAGGTATCTAAATACCGTTTTCGGCGCGTCTACTGTGATCATTGAGTGGTCGCAAAAGTAAATATAGAAGTTACAGTTACCTTGACCTTGTCGCCCCAGTATTTTACCCGTAGTATTTCTGAAGTTGTCTTTTTTTTTTTTTTTTTTAAACTTTCTTCTTCTGAAAAATAACTTAAACACGAATATAATAATAATAATAATAAAGTTCATTTCAAAAACACGCTTCATCCCCAAAGGCTCGAAGCGCGGTACAAAGTAAAAAAAAAAACAACAAATCTATAGTTTACCACATTTAAAACAAACGCAACACGACAAAAACTAAGTACAAGCATACAATGGCAAAGTCTTTCT